AAGAACAATATCAAGTGATTCATTTTCAAATGGTAAATATTTTGTTGCATCAGCTACTACGAAAGAAAGTCGAGAAATCATCGAATGACGTTGTCGACATACGTCAATGACACTGGGAGAAAGATCAACTCCTACATAAGAACCAGGTACATAATTATGGACGCACCAAACAGCACCATCACCTCTACGACAACTCACTTCAAGTACATTCTGATTTGTAAGTGATACGTGTGCAAGGACCTATGTCAAAGGACAAAATATTTTAGTCATAATTATTACATCTTGAAGGTATAGATATTCTGTTGATCGCATATTCAATAAATGGAAATTCTATTTATTGTACGTCCAATATACAAAGAAAACACTGAATTCTGTATTGTTTATTTTTGATCATTTACCTGTTTATATAGCTGTTTCGAACAGTAGTCGGTATTATCGTTATTGTCCTCATCAAGATCTGCATAGCCATAATTCATAAGTTGTAGTTCATCTACGCTTTCAGATGGTTGCTGGTGTTCGGCTTCATTATCACGAACCAATACAGATTGAGATGATTTTGCTTCTGTTGTCAAAAGTTCTACGAAAAATAAACTTAGTATATTAAAAAATGAATTTACTGATATACAATAATTACAAGCAATTAATCTAACTTCAAGTAAGTTGTAAGTATAGTTTGTCATATAAAATGATCTATCTAGAAGTTCAGACTGTAATCGCATTCGAATGGTTAGACAACATCAATCAGGTAATTTTTCAAGTGAATTATAAGTAAAGAAATTCCAGTATGTTACATTTAGTTCAGTCAGTTTTTAGTTGAACTTGTTGTTTTAGCTTCTGAAGAACAATAAATTACGTAATTGTATGTAATATAAAAAATAGAAGGTCAAAATGAGTCGTTTCATTAATAGTAGAACTGAATGAATAGTGAATAGTCATAGTAAACAAAGTTACATTTGCTGAATATTAAATAGCATCTCAATAGTATTATAGTGGGTGGCTCATAATAAATTAGAAACTGGAAATGAACCACTGTGAACCGAACTGAACTAGACCTAGTTTTATGAGAGATGATTTAACGTAGTCTAATGGCACATGAGATTTATGTAAGAGTGAACTTTAACGTAATATTTCTAACTACGCGAAAAATACGTTTTAACTTATGACCTGCACTTGATCAAGTAGACTAAATGCTATCCGAATGAAACCTTATTTGAACTGAAATCGATTCAGAAAAATGCAATTCAATAAGCTTCTTGCAGTGTATCTTGTGATATATTTTGTTTTGTCATGAAACATATTCAGGCGTCAAAGTATACAATATAAAGTGCGATTATTTATTATGAATTACTCGTGATAAGTATGGTTTTATCTATGTAAATGACTTACTTGCAGGAAGTCCTTTCCATTGAGTATTGAGTAGTAAGATATCATTTTTCATTACCAATGTAAATGGATAAAGTCTATTGTTGCCCATCAATTTGCAGCCTGCCATCACAAGTGAACCACTCATAAGCACACATGAGCTTTCGATCGTCACAGGAGCTAATTTTAGGATACGTTGTTCATTACTATGACACTGAAAAATTGTGAAGAACAAAAGATTTATAAAGGAAAATAACAACAAAAATTCATGTATTACTTGAATATTAGCATGCATATTAAGTCGAACGTTATCTTCAATAGTTATCAAATGATAATCAGTTATACAGGAAAAATCAGGTAACACTACACCTTCACCAATATGAGCTCCGAATGCTCGAAATAACCGAATCAGCCATTGTGTATTGTTAAGGAATGGACAAATAAATTGTACAAAATCTTGTGTTAGTCTTATTGATAACTGTTGGATTAGTTGATGAGTTATATATGAATCCCATCGGCAAACACCCCAAATGAGTGTTATATGAATTGCTGACCCACCAATGAAACCACTTAATGAATAAATGCTCACCAGAACACATTTTACGATGAAATGAAGGAAACACGTATGCCATATTGGAATACTTTCAATCTGATCTGTCTCGTTTGATCTTAGAGGCATTTTAAAAGGCATCACCCGAGCTGGAACACCAATAAAGACATCTCTTTGGTTGCTATTTATTTCTCGAGAAATGCGTGTTAAATTGCCAACCATTGTCTCAGAAGCAAGACGACTGCCAGGCAAAATTGAACATCCATTCGCAAGATTTGTATGAGCTCCAAATATTATGGAATCAACACGATGGTCGCCTAATAATGTTATCTCAGTAGGGACTATTAAGACTGAGCCGAAAGTAGTGACGCCCGTTTCAAGTTTTAGTAGATTTGTTGGACAAGATAAGAAAATACCGATGTCAGAAAGTCTAACATTATCTTCGATATGAGCACCTAACCAACGAAGAATGAAAGGATACATGTCATTACAACCGGATGGTAGCAACCAGGCATGACGAAAACTGGATACAATTAATTGCCGAAGCCATAACTTATGTAAATACGACCAAGACGTTATCGAGTACGTATCACCAGCAGTACAAGAACCGACTACGAATTTAAGCAGGATGACAGAAACAAAACAGCCGATTATAGACCACAAAGTCCAACAAAAAGCAATACTGAAAGTTAGTGGTATTTTTTCAATTGAATGAATTTTGTAGACAAAAATTAAAATTGTGCAGTGAATACAAATTAGCGAGATGAGTACAATAATTTGGTAGACCCTATGCCATATCGATAATGATCTTTTGCTGTGAGTAATACAGTCATCCGTTGAAATAGATTTATGTTCTTCACCATCAATGACTGTTTTAGATGCAATGGAACCAGTAACCGATGACATTGGTTGAACAATAATATTATCTTTCATATCAACTCCATCGAATAAAATCGATCGTGTGCCAATGGAACAATTAGAGCCGATCCTAATTGGATATAGTTCAAAAGTGTTACCATCATTAAAATGAAAACAATTCAGCAATGTTTGATCAGCAATCCAAGTTCCATTACTAATTTCTAACAACCATGGAGTATCAATGGCTGTGGTATTAATATGTGCACTAGAGCTTATACGAGCACCACAAAGACGTAGATAGTAATTATAGAGTGGGGTACCAAGTATATGTTGTAACCAAAATGTATTATTATTCCATAATCGATCCAAAAACCACCATCGATAATAGTTCCATGAAAAAACAATATCAGTTTTGTTATTTTGTGGTGCAAAGAGTCGTGAACAAATGGCATAGAATATAAGATGAAATGCTGGTAGGAATGGGAAGAAGAATGGACACCATTGATGAATTATTATGATTGGCCATAACCATTGGCAGAGAAGAAGTATAACGCCTATAGATTCTATAACAAATGAAGGTGCAAGACGAACATATGTTTCATGAGATTGATTAACGGTGAAAACCGTCTTTTGAGATTGATTCGAAATCAACAAAGGTTCTACTGCTATAGCCAATTGTCGAATAGATGGATTAGTAAAGAGAAGGCCAATGTCAATATTAGTACACACCTGCTGTCGTATTAATGTAAGTGCGCGTATAGCATCTAGAGATGTTCCACCGAGCTGACCAAAAGGAACGTCAATAGGCGGAGATTCAATATGGAAAACTTGGCTGAAAATCTTTTGTAATTGTTGTTCAAGAGTAGTACTTGGTTCATTATTATCATAATTATAACCAGGACCTGACGATAAAAAGTCAGGTGGAGGAAGAAGTTTTCGATCTATTTTTCCATTTGCATTCAATGGTAATTTATTAAGTACTACGAAGAGAGATGGAATCATATGAGGTGGTAAATGTGATTGACAATGCCCACGTAATTGTTTTTCATCAATATGAGTACTCTGAACATAAGCAACTAAATGATCATCATTCCATTTCATGACAACACAAGCTGAAATTGATGTTTGAAGTAAACATTGTTCGATTTCATCAAGTTCAATTCGTTGTCCATGTAATTTCACTTGATAATCTTTACGATGCACGTAATAAAGAAATCCTTCAGTATCCATTCGAACAAGATCACCTGTTTTATAGTACATTACTTCGTTGATATTGATCACTGCTTTTGCCGTCAAGTCATCACGATTAAAGTATCCAGCAAAGATACCTACACCACTTACTAGCAATTCTCCTTCATGCCCAATACAGACAAACTGAGAAAATTCGTCCAAAATCAGACATTGATAGTTGGGTAAAAGTCGACCTATAGAAATGCTTGCTTGACTTTTGCTAAGGTCAATTAAATAACAAGCACAATTGATCGTAATTTCGGCTGGGCCATAATGATTTCGAATTCGACATTGCTCTCCGACTAAATTATGAAATAGATTAACTTGCTTAGCATTAACAGCCTCGCCTATAAACAATTAATTCAAAGAAATCGTTGATGATTTAGTTATTCAAAAACAAATACTAACCGCCGCTGCATAAAGATCGTAAACATTTCACTGCTGATGTACGCTTACTTATACTGAGAAATTCAAAGAAACTGTTCAGAAGCGACGGAACAGCATGCATGACAGTAATCTGCTTTTGATCGAGGACTCTAGCAAGATACTCTAAATCCATATTACCTTCCGGTCGAAGCATCACTAATGTGCTGCCAATAAACAATGTACCGACTAAGCTTAGCAGATGATTGTCAAAAGAGCATCGAGCCATCTGTATTACTATGTCAGACTTGGTTACTACATCAATATTCACAAATGAATGCATAAATTCAGTAAAGTTTCGATGACGAAGTTGAACCTATTTTAACAAAAAAAGCGTTAGACAATACATCGACAGAAACAATTATTATACAAACCGCTTTTGGAATACCAGTTGAACCACTTGTAAAAATTACAAAGACAACACTTTCTGGTGTTACAGAAGCATCTGAAAGTTCATTCAGATTACTTTCACTAAATCTTTCTCCGAAACGAATAATGCAGTCAATATTTAGAGTTAGATTGTCGGGGCTGAAAACAGCTGGTGTACTTGCATGAACCAAAACTAAACGGCTCTGCGTTTGATTGACAAGCACTTGTAGACGTTGCGGAGGATCTCGTACCGATAATGGACAATAAGCACTACCAACCATAGCTATTGACAAGATACCAATGACCTAAGGGAAAAATATTACACGTGATATCGTTCCAAGAAAGAACCTTTTCAAAGTATTTACCATTGACAAACTTCGCTCAACACATTGACAAATAATTTCACCTGGAACAACATGATATTTGTTAATCAAATGCAAAGATAACACCTGTACATAACATAAAAGTTCAGCATATGTCAACGATTGTTCATCCAATTCAACTGCTAGTTTTTGTGGATGCTTCATTACTTGATATACAAATTCATGATGAATACAAGTGGCAGAAGATAGAAATGATACTTGTGTATTATTCATTGATTGCACGAGTAATCTTTCATTTGGTAATGCTAATGATATTTCATAGATTGATTTATTCATATGATTATCAACAGATGTAAATAATTGTTTCAACATTGAATGAAATCGTTGAGATATCTTATGAATTGTTTCTTTATTGAATAAGTCAAGTGATGCATTGATTGTACATGAGAGTGCATTCACATTCATGTTATGCTGAAAACTAGCGAGAAAATCATATTTACTCGTTATTTCATCTTCAGTAATCTTCAGTGAAAATGGTAGTAAAGAAAGTTGATTATCATTAAGTATTATCTTATTCTTATTATCCTTTATTGTAGTTGACATGAATTCATATGATGTATTAAGAAACGCAGGATTTGATATATTCGAATGTTGATCAAGGATTCGTTGAAGAGGAAAATAGGAATATTTCATACTTTTTGTTACAAACTCTTGAACATACTCAAGAAGTTGATGAAAATACCATTGAGGATCTAGTTGACATCTCAATGGAATTATATTTTCAAATAATCCAATGACTGATTTAAATTCATCTC